CTACGGCTCTTCTTTCATACTTCAGTTGAGAACCTCTTTATAATCGATAGCATAAAGGCTCCATGGCCCAGTGAAAGATATATGCTTTCTTAATTCACAGTATTCATCAAATTACAAAAATTCATTTGTACTATTTAGTGTGTCTTCATGAAACCGGGGAGGTACTGGTTAGGATAAAGATACTGTTATAGAAGAGAGAATGCAGATCACTTGAAATCCATAACCAGTTTGACAGCAAAGACAGCCAGGAGCCCTCTGCTACTCTAGGTGACATCAGGAGCTGGCAGATGGTAGAAATACCCTTTCTGGCAACCGTGCCCAGTCACCCTGCATGGCATGATGTAAGATAAAAGCATCTGCTGACTTTCAGGGTATAATTACCACCAGGGTGGGGGTGTAATTAAAGTAAGGGTAATTTACCCTAAAGAAGATAAAAATTAAGAATTATTAATGACAATAATAATTAGCTCTTTTATATCTAAGAATCACAAAATGCTTTACAAGCTGTAATTATCACAGCTCCCCTCTGAGGAAGGGATTCATATCTTACAGTTCCTCATTTAACAGTGGGATGAAGCAATGGACACCAGGGAAGGCAGAAGGGGGTGGAGTGCTGCCCTCCTCTGTCATCTGTCCTGTAAGTGGTGAAGCTAGAAAGAGGCTCCAGAAAGGCTGACTCTTATTAAGGTGAGTACCCTCATCCCTAAGCCATCACGCAAACAGCTGGTCCATCCCAGGATCAAGTGATTCATCTCATTCTAACCTGTTGGCCATTTCAACTGCCACAATGCAATAAAATTGTATCATATCAGCAAGCGTTTTTTAAACCATCTATTAGGAATAAACGATACAAGACTACCTTCAAAAAACTTAAAACCTAATTGAGAAGACAAAACAAGCACCCGTTAAACTAGAGCAGAATATAAAAATTACACATTAGTACTAAATTGTATGATGCTGACTATGTATGCTATAGGGGAAATTTTTTTTTTTTAATTTAAAGATCATTCCATGTAAAGGTCAAACAAGGTTTTGAAGAGGACACTGAACTTCTCTGAGGCCTGAAAGAAACTATACTAGGTTTTAGATTGACAGAGGTGAGATCCAAGAGGTGGGTCAATGAATACAAAGAAACGATAGAAAAACTTGAAAGATTTAACACATAGTTTTTTTAAAGAAGTGTTTGATGGAGAGCTGTTTGAAGCATCTTACATTTTTTCAAAGCCATGTAGAATTACCCTTCTTTGAACATTTTCCCAGAATGTCAACATCATAGTGCATACTGGATTCTGGAGAAGTCCATTAGGTTAAAGATGACAATAGAAACTTCTCTGCTTTATCTAAACCTTCACTCTGGAAGTTACCCGGTTGAGCTAAGTCAGGGTCTGGGCCGGGTAAATGCCACAGAATGTCAAATCTATCTCTTCTTTTCTGGTTCTAACAGGAGAAAATAGGAGACGAGCCCTTGAATGAGATAAAGATTAGGAAAATCTAATACTCTTAGTTTCTTTTTCTTTCTTTTTTTTTTTTGAGACGCAGTTTTGCTCTTTGTTACCCAGGCTGGAGTGCAATGGCGCGATCTCGGCTCACCGCAACCTCCGCCTCCTGGGTTCAGGCAATTCTCCTGCCTCCGCCTCCTGAGTAGCTGGGATTACAGGCACACGCCACCATGCCCAGCTAATTTTTTGTATTTTTAGTAGAGACGGGGTTTCACCATGTTGACCAGGATAGTCTCGATCTCTTGACCTTGTGATCCACCCGCCTCGGCCTCCCAAAGTGCTGGGATTACAGGCGTGAGCCACCGCGCCCGGCCTTAATACTCTTCGTTTCTTACATGTTTGTTTATTAATCCAGCAGAGCCCCGCCCCCAAAGATTTCAAAAGTGACAGGGGCTTTATATTAATATAATATTAAAGCACCTAAGTAATATAAATTTTATTTTCTCTTTTTAATTCCTCTGTAGTAAAGAGCTCAAGCCTCAACACCAAATACCAGGATAATACTATAGCTATACTGTACACAGGCTCTGATAAAGAAGGGCATTCTTGCAGAAACGGAGCAGGGAGACCCGGGTCATTCCCAGGCCAGTCAGCAATATTCTCTGACCTTTCACTGCCTCAGTCTCCAGTCTTAAAAAACAGTGATATTGGAGCTTTTAGTCTATAAAAAAATAAGGAGATCTTTCAGATTGTAACAATATTTTTATTTTTTGATGGTCCCCAGTAAAGGAACACTACTACATTTCAAGAATTCTCAGTTGTCTCAACTAAAAATAGACTGAACCAATTGGTTAGGATTTGATAATTTTCTACATTCATTAGCCTTTACCAACCTTTTGAAAAACTAGAAGGCCATGGAAACTATTTCCCTGTCCAAACTTTATGTCACTGACTCCTTTTTAAATGATATTCTCAGGCCGGGCATGGTGGCTCACACCTGTAATCCCAGCACTTTGGGAGGCCAAGGCAGGTGGATCACGAGGTCAAGAGATCGAGACCATCCTGGTCAACATGGTGAAACCCCATCTCTACTAAAAATACAAAAAATTAGCTGGGCACGGTGGCACGTGCCTGTAATCCCAGCTACTCAGGAGGCGGAGGCAGGAGAATTGCCTGAACCCAGGAGGCGGAGGTTGCGGTGAGCCGAGATCGCACCATTGCACTCCAGCCTGGGTAACAACAGTGAAACTCTGTCTCAAAAAAAAAAACCAAAAAAAAAAAAACCAAAAAGATATTCTCAAATAATGACAGTGTATAAACTAAGAGAATATTATGTAGCGATGAAGATACTTCACTAGGAAAATCTCAAACTTGATTTTGGATTTAGCATCTTAATCTACTTTACTTTCTGATGATGGACCAAGAGCAGGAATGGAGGCCAATTTTCTTAGATTAAGGCAGGTTTTTAAATATTTTCCCTTATGCTGAACTAACTTAATAAGAGTGGGTAGGAGAACCATCACTGAATTTTAAAATCTAGCTTCATTCAGAGAGGAGGAAGAGTTTTTCTGTTATCATTATAAGCATGTGGGTAGGGGGAATTGCCATTCTAATTATAATTTTATAATGCTTAATGCTACTTTTCTCTTTATTTTCATGGAACCTAACAATTTCCAGTTCCCTTTTGGGTTTAATCCCTATAGAAAAATCATGAGGTTTCCCAATACATCACACGCTGGAGGACACAAACAAAAGCAGACCTAAGGCAAGCCTCGAAGAATGCTCATGATTGCAGTGTGGTCAGTGCTTATGATGGTCTTATCTTAGAATCCAAAGAGTGAGAGATCTGCACAAAATCCTAGACTTCAGCGTCGAAGCCTTTAAGAGGCAGAAATGAGCCATGCTTATAATTGTCTTACCATTCCCTGTCACTTCTACCTTCCTCTTTTTTTTTTGAGACGGAGTTTTGCTCTTGTTACCCAGGCTGGAGTGCAATGGCACGATCTCGGCTCACCGCAACCTCCGCCTCCTGGGTTCAGGCAATTCTCCTGCCTCCGCCTCCTGAGTAGCTGGGATTACAGGCACGCACCACCACGCCCAGCTAATTTTTTGTATTTTTAGTAGAGACGGGGTTTCACCATGTTGACCAGGATGGTCTCGATCTCTTGACCTCGTGATCCACCCGCCTCGGCCTCCCAAAGTGCTGGGATTACAGGCGTGAGCCACCGCACCCGGCCTCTACCTTCCTCTTAACCCCACATCTGGGATGGCGGCAAGTGAGGGGTCATATAGAGTTGAGTTCCATTATAATTTGGACCAATCTGCACATAAAGAAAAGCCACCAAGAATTAGATTCCAAATTTTCACTCATGCCATTGAAGGACCCTACAGTTGCCTCAAAATTCAGAAAACCAATACTTGCTTCTGTTGGACAAAGGAGGAAACAAAAGTGCAGGGAAGCCATTGAATCATCTAATAGTCTTCATAAACCTTACATTTCAGACTATGGTCAAAGTTTCATAGAGTCTGAAATGTAAGGATGGAAGTCACCAACAACCATGGATAAAATCCAATTCTTTACAATAAAACAGCACTGAAATTTGCAGATGATCAACCAAATCGAGAAAGCCCTGATGGATATAATGGGCTAGAATAACCGATTACCTCAATGTGCTTCCAGGAGAAGCAGACTCAAGTGTTTAGGTGTCATAATCATTAGTAACTGAGGCTGAGTAGGATGATTATAACTACAATAATGCATTACACCAGCTCTTTTTCCCCAGGGGCATCAATATGCTAATGAGAAAACTAATGAACAAACTTCATTTAAGTTTAATATTTCTAAGAATGAAATTTCACAGATTTCAAGTTTTCTTATGAATGATTTAATAAAAATATATTTCTAAGGTACCGTCCCAAACTGTTTACTGAGGAGGCAGTCCCCAGTCTGTAAGAAAACCCTCATAAGACCCAGGAATACAAATGGAAAAATTTTTCCCACCTGCATTTTTAGAGAAGAAACTAACCAATTCTTTGCATCTCTCTCATTGCCCTAGAGTTGAAGCAATTGCTTCTGGCAGGGCTTATGAGCAGCACACCATGGACTGTCACAACCCATAGAGAAATCAGTTGGTTTTCGTCAGTTTATTTCTAAGTTTCTGCTTAATCCCAAACTAGAGTTTGCATCTTTTATAAAGCAAATGGCTTAGGGGTCACTCCTTTGTAATGAAGTATAAGCAATTAAGATTCTAAAGACTTAATACATTTGTTTTATTGTTTAATTTAGTTTAACAATTAAAGAAAATTGGAGATTCTGCCAAATATTTTACCCTCTCATGTTAGGTGGGGCCAGTACCCTGATTGTCAGGAAGCAAGGTCTGTGAACCTTGTGCCAAAGAGCTACGTGAGCAAATAGTGAGATAAACAAGCCATTTGTGGAGACAGAGGTGGAGCTGGGCTTGTTAGGAATGAATCAGGCCATCCCACAGAGTGGGCGTCTCCTTCGCAAGTTGCTCTCCAGGGCACAATTAAAACCCCTATAAAAGGCCCAGTTCCCAGTTACCCAGTACACTTGCCCGTGGTGTCAGCGAGCACTGGACTTCTTCCTCTGGTGAAGTGGGTAAGTCCCATTCCGTGGGATTATGGTCTTCTTTATGATTCTCCATTTTTATAGCTATTTCAGATGCTGGGGTATGGGGGGAGGTTCTATGTGCCAGAAGGTATCAGTAGCTTACAGGGATAAATAAACTTTTACTAATTCGTTTCCATCTTCTTATGGTTGGAGCCATCTCTTGAACGGAAACATAACCCTCCTCCCTGGAATCTGAACTCTATACTTTCGCACATCAAAGATGATCATATGTGGCTCTGACAGGATTCATCTTCCTAAAAACTTCCATCTCAAAAGTTTGCCAATCCTCTGTTCTCTTTTACGTTGGTTCTACCTAATATGAGCCATCTTCATATAGTCACAGCATCTAAGATATTGGAGTTGAGAAGTAGATAAAGAAGTTAGCTAGACTAACCACTTCACATACCCTGCCGGCAATGCCATCCATGTATTCTTATAATATTGACCTACTGCTGGCTAATGTTTTCTAAAAAGCCAAGATTCCAAGAAAACCAATATCATTCACAGTTTTCTGGATTGTTTGGTTCAGAAAGGACCTCTCAGAAGCTTTCAATACTTCAGTATCTGAATATCTGTATTATATCTGAGTTGGAGCAGGTAATATACACTCTCTGTTTTCTGCATGTGTGTATCTGAACATTGCCATCTTTTGACTAGGAAGAAGTATTATTTAATCTTAAAATTGCTGACTTATGAATTATATTCTATAAGAGGTCCTAAATTCCTTATGGACTGTGATGTTGGGGAACAATTCACATTCCCTTCATTGTTCTATTTTCTACCAAATGTTTTGCTGACATGGCCACTATCTACTTTAAGATACTCTCAAGTCTTCCTTCATCTTTTGGCTTTTACCTGTTCTTTTTGCTCAACTTTAAAGGAAGGTGTTTATGAGTAGAAATATATCAAATTTTGATTTCTGCACTCCTATCTTTATTGTCTGCTCTGAAATATGCTGGAGAGCTGGAGGAAATAGAGAAGAAAAGGACATAGATAATCCACATTGGGTGGACAATCAAAAGCTGACTGTAGGATAGCCTGAAGATTATTCCCCGGCTTGGAATTTCTCAGGATCGCTTTTTCTCTTTCTGATACAATATTCAAAGGTTAAAATGCTCTGAAAGTCCAGGTTGAAAATACTGCTATAAATTCAAATTACTTAGGGATCTGCCTGAAATAGTGTGAACAAAGCTTTCCCAAGAGCAGAAACGAGATTTTGATTCTGGATCTTATTTTATTGCTAGATATACTCGAACTTGAAACAAAGAAAAAAAATGTCTCCACTTCTGAGAAGCATCTGTGACATCATTGAAATTTTCAATCAATATGTCTCACATGATTGTGATGGAGCAGCATTAACTAAGAAAGACCTGAAGAACCTCCTTGAAAGAGAATTTGGAGCTGTACTTCGGGTAAGAACTAGTAAGAAAAGGAGACCTGTTGACTTAAGGCTATGAGATTTATTCTGAGGAGACCAGAGCAAGGAATGGTGGCTTTATATTCATTTTACACAACAACTGGTCTACACTACATCCCCCATTCATTTCTGAGTCAGAAGGTACTTACTTGGCATTGTAGTCTGAATAATAAAGTATTTCATGTATGGCCATGTAAATGAGTTCTTCATGGGACATTACCACAAAAGATGTCAAATCAAATTAGATTTGGAGAAACTTAAATTTGTTTCCAATTTCAAGACTGAGATCAGCCTGATCTCTGCTAAAATGGTGTTTTGTTCTGTTTTCTAATATGGAATAAAAACCAAATCAAGAGTACTGGCCATTTCAGACAGAAGTGACTACTGCAAATCTTCATTAATTTCCATTGTAGCTCTCTCAAGGATGAGTTCATTCTTAATTAAAGAGAACTTGTTTATTCTTTCTTGAGGTTGAGCAGCTTTGTTAATTGTACACATAAGTTCACGACGCAGTTTTGAATTTTCGCTTCAAGCCCTGCCTCTAAGGTGTGTAGGCTTACCCACTATTCTACTTTGTGTCCCTCTTCCTACATCCTCCAGTTTGGTCAGCACTAAATTACGAGATGCAAAAATTCCCAAGATGAGGGTGTACATTTTACATGGGGACAAGACTTGATACACACTGGGCATTTTTCTAATTGCTCTGAATGTCTCTTGAGTGTGAGCATAGCATAAAATATAACGTGTGAATACAATTTTACTACCTGTAAACAGTACATTGTAAAATTTTTGTTTTCATCGTTTTTATAGAGACCACATGACCCCAAGACGGTAGATCTGATCCTGGAACTTCTGGATCGTGACTGTAACGGGCATGTCGATTTCAATGAATTCCTCCTATTCATTTTCAAAGTGGCTCAAGCTTGTTACTATGCTCTGGACCAGGCCACGGGACTAGATGAAGACAAGCGAACCCTCTGTGATGGAAAGGAGAACCTGTTACAAGATCGCGGGCAAGAAGACCAAAGGAGATTCGAGCCTCAGGGCAGACAACCGGAAGGAGAACGTGGGCAACGACCGAGGCAGAAGACGCAGGAACAGGAGAGGGAGCGCACTGAGGGAGAGGAGCAAAGGGAGAAACAAGAGCGACTAGAACAGCGTGATAGGCAGCGCCGCGACGAGGAGCTTCCAGACGACGAGCAACAGCGAAGGCGGGAGCTGCAGGAGCTGAGGAGGGAGTCCCGTGAGGAGAAGCAGCAGCAAAGGCAAGAGCTGCAAGAGAGAGTGCTCCAGGAGGAAGAAGGGAAGCTGCAAAAACGGGAGAGGCAAGAGCAAAGGGAGAGACTGGAAGATGAACCGCAGCGGCAAAGAGAGCTCCAGGAGGAAGAAGAGCAGCTACAGAAGCGGGAGCGGCAAGAGCTGAAGAGGGAGCGCCAGGAGGAAGAGCAGCAGCTGCAAAGGTTAAGGCGCGAGCAGGAGGAGAGGCGCGAGCAGGAGGAAGAGAGGCGCGAGCAGCAGCTGAGGCGCAAGCAGGAGGACAGGCGCGAGCAGCAACTAAGGCGCGAGGAAGAAGAGAGGCGCGAGCAGCGGCTGAAGCGCGAGCAGGAGGAGAGGCCGGAGCGACAACTAAGGCGCGAGGAGGAGGACGAGAGGCGCGAGCAGAGGCTGAAGCGCGAGCAGGAGGAGAGGCGGGAGCGACAACTAAGGCGCGAGGAGGAGGAAGAGAGGCGCGAGCAGGAGGAGAGGCGGGAGCAGCAACTAAGGCGCGAGGTGGAGGACGAGAGGCGCGAGCAGCGGCTGAGGCGCGAGCAGGAGGAGAGGCGCGAGCAGGAGCTGGCTGAGGAGGAGGAGCAGGAACAGGTCCGGGAGCGAATTAAGAGCCGCACCCCGAAGTGGCAGTGGCAGCTAGAAAGGGAAGCCGATGCACGGCAAAGCAAAGTCTACTCGAGGCCCCGCAGGCAGGAAGAGCAGAGGCGCCGCCAAGAGCAGGAGGAGAAGAGGCGGCGCCGGGAGCGTGAGCTGCAACAGCAGGAGGAGGAACCCGCTCGCCGGCAGCAGCAGCAGGAGGAGCAGCGCCGGGACTTCAAATGGCAGTGGCAGGCTGAGGAAGAGAGCGAGAGGCGCCGACAGAGACTGTCGGTCAGGCCCTCGTTGCGGGAGCAGCGGCAGAGGCAGCTGAGGGCAGAGGAGCGCCTGCAGCGGGAACAACGGTTTCTCCAGGAGGAGGAGGAGCAGGAGCAGCGTCGCGAGAGGGAGCAAGAGCTGAAGTTCCTGGAGGAAGAAGAGCAGCTCCAACGGGGGGAGCGCACCCAACAGCTCCAGGAGGAGGAGGACGGCCTCCATGAGGATCAGGAAAAGAGGCGACGCCAGGAACAGCGCCGCGACCAAAAGTGGAGGTGGCAACTAGAAGAAGAAAGGAATAGACGCCGCCACACGCTGTACGCCAAGCCGGCCCTACGAGAGCAGCTGAGGAAGGAAGAGCAGCTGCAGCAGGAGGAAGAGCAGCTGCTGAGAGAAGAACCGGAGAAGAGAAGGCGCCAGGAGCTGGAGAGACAATACCGCGAGGAAGAGGAGCTGCAGCAGGAGGAAGAGCAGCTGCTAAGAGAGGAGCGCGAGAAGAGAAGGCGCCAGGAGCGGGAGAGACAATATCGCGATGAAGAGGAGCTGCAGCAGGAGGAAGAGCAGCTGCTACGAGAGGAGCGGGAGAGACAATACCGCAAGGAAGAGGAGCTGCAGCAGGAGGAAGAGCAGCTGCTGAGAGAGGAACAGGAGAAGAGAAGGCGCCAGGAGCGAGAGAGACAATATCGCGATGAAGAGGAGCTGCAGCAGGAGGAAGAGCAGCTGCTGAGAGAGGAGCGTGAGAAGACAAGGCGCCAGGAGCGGGAGAGACAATATCGCGATGAAGAGGAGCTGCAGCAGGAGGAAGAGCAGCTGCTGAGAGAGGAACAGGAGAAGAGAAGGCGCCAGGAGCGAGAGAGACAATATCGCGATGAAGAGGAGCTGCAGCAGGAGGAAGAGCAGCTGCTGAGAGAGGAGCGCGAGAAGAGAAGGCGCCAGGAGCGGGAGAGACAATACCGCAAGGAAGAGGAGCTGCAGCAGGAGGAAGAGCAGCTGCTGAGAGAGGAGCGCGAGAAGAGAAGGCGCCAGGAGCAAGAGAGCCAATATCGCGAGGAAGAGGAGCTGCAGCAGGAGGAAGAGCAGCTGCTAAGAGAGGAGCGCGAGAAGAGAAGGCGCCAGGAGCGGGAGAGACAATACCGCGAGGAAGAGGAGCTGCAGCAGGAGGAAGAGCAGTTTCTAAGAGAGGAGCGCGAGAAGAGAAGGCGCCAGGAGCGAGAGAGCCAATATCGCGAGGAAGAGGAGCTGCAGCAGGAGGAAGAGCAGCTGCTAAGAGAGGAGCGCGAGAAGAGAAGACGCCAGGAGCGGGAGAGACAATACCGCGAGGAAGAGGAGCTGCAGCAGGAGGAAGAGCAGTTTCTAAGAGAGGAGCGTGAGAAGAGAAGGCGCCAGGAGCGAGAGAGACAATATCGTGAGGAAGAGGAGCTGCAGCAGGAGAAAGAGCAGTTTCTAAGAGAGGAGCGTGAGAAGAGAAGGCGCCAGGAGCGAGAGAGACAATATCGTGAGGAAGAGGAGCTGCAGCAGGAGGAAGAGCAGCTGCTGAGAGAGGAGCTGGAGAAGAGAAGGCGCCAGGAGCGGGAGAGGCAGTATCGGGAGGAGGAAGAGCTTCAGCGCCAGGACAGAAAGCGGCGATACCGGGATGAGGATCAGCGCAGTGATCTGAAATGGCAGTGGGAACCAGAAAAAGAAAATGCAGTTCGTAATAACAGGGTTTACTGCAAACGTAGAGAGAATGAACAGCTCCGGCAGTTGGAAGATTCCCAGGTGCGTGACAGACAATTCCAGCAGGATCTGCAGCCCCTGCTGGATGAACAGCAAGAGAGAGACCGCGAGCAAGAGAGGCGGCGCTGGCAGCAGCGCGACAGGCAGTTCCCAGAGGAAGAACAGCTGAAGCGAGAAGAGCAAAAGGAAGCCAACAGGCGCGACAGGAAGTTCCAAGAGGAAAAGCAGTTGCTGAGAGAGGAAAGAGAAAAGAAACGCCGTCAGGAGACAGACAGAAAATTCCGCGAGGAGGAACAGCTGCTGCGCCAAGAGCGTGACAGAAAATTCCTGGAAGAGGAACAGCAGCTGCGCCGCCAGGAACGAGAGAGAAAATTCCGTGAGGAGGAACCGCAGCTGCGCCGCCAGGAGCGCGAACAACAGCTGCGCCAGGACCGCGACAGAAAATTCCGTGAGGAGGAACAGCTCCGTCAGGAGAGGGAGGAACAGCAGCTGCGTCGCCAGGAACGAGAGAGAAAATTCCGCGAGGAGGAACCGCAGCTGCGCCGCCAGGAGCGCGAACAACAGCTGCGCCAGGACCGCGACAGAAAATTCCGTGAAGAGGAACAGCTCCGTCAGGAGAGGGAGGAACAGCAGCTGCGCCGCCAGGAGCGCGACAGAAAATTCCGCGAGGAAGAGCAGCTCCGCGAGGAGGGACAGCTCCGCCAGGAGAGGGAGGAACAGCAGCTGCGACGCCAGGAGCGGGACAGAAAATTCCGCGAGGAGGAACAGCTGCTACAGGAAAGGGAAGAACAGCAGCTGCGCCAAGAGCGTGACAGAAAATTCCTGGAAGAGGAACAGCAGCTGCGCCGCCAGGAACGAGAGAGAAAATTCCGCGTGGAAGAACAGCAGCTGCGCCCCCAGGAGCGGGAACAGCTGCGCCAGGAGCGCTACAGAAAATTCCGCGAAGAGGAACAGCTCCGCAAGGAGAGGGAGGAACAGCAGCTGCGCCACCAGGAGCGCGACAGAAAATTCCGCGAGGTGGAACAGCAGGTGCGCCCCCAGGAGCGCGACAGAAAATTCCGCGAAGAGGAACAGCTCCGCAAGGAGAGGGAGGAACAGCAGCTGCGCCGCCAGGAGCGGGAACAGCTGCGCCAGGAGCGCGACAGAAAATTCCGCGAGGAGGAACAGCAGCTGCGCCCCCAGGAGCGGGAACAGCTGCGCCAGGAGCGCGACAGAAAATTCCGTGAAGAGGAACAGCTCCGCAAGGAGAGGGAGGAACAGCAGCTGCGCCCCCAGGAGCGCGACAGAAAATTCCGCAAAGAGGAACAGCTCCGCAAGGAGAGGGAGGAACAGCAGCTGCGCCGCCAGGAGCGCGACAGAAAATTCCGCGAGGAGGAACAGCAGCTGCGCCCCCAGGAGCGGGAACAGCTGCGCCAGGAGCGCGACAGAAAATTCCGCGAAGAGGAACAGCTCCGCAAGGAGAGGGAGGAACAGCAGCTGCGCCGCCAGGAGCGCGACAGAAAATTCCGCGAGGAGGAACAGCTCCGCAAGGAGAGGGAGGAACAGCAGGTGAGCCGCCAGGAGCGCGACAGAAAATTCCGCGAGGAGGAACAGCAGCTGCGCCGCCAAGAGCGGGACAGAAAGTATCGCCGGGAAGAGGAGCAGCTGCAGCTTGAGGAGCAGGAAGAGCAGAGGCGCCGACAGGAGAGAGACCGGCAGTACCGGGCGGAGGAGCAGTTTGCGAGGCAGGAGAAGAGTCGTCATCAGGAACAAGAACTGCGGCAAGAAGAAGAGCAGAGACGTCGCCAGGAACGGGAAAGGAAATTCCGGGAAGAACAGCTCCGCCGCCAGCAGGAGGAAGAACAGAGGCCCCGCCAAGTCCGGGAGATCCAATCCCAAGAAGGCAAGGGCTATGGGCGGCTTCTGGAGCCCGGCGCTCGTCAGTTTGCCAACGTCCCAGTGCGCTCCAGCCCTCTCTATGAGTACATCCAAGAGCAGAGATCTCAATACCGCCCTTAAGAGATATTGCCAATACCCTGACACCTGCCAAAGCTTTGAGCACAGGAAAATGAGAAACACTGGGTACCAAGTGATAACTCAGATGTTTCAGGTTGCGGGAAATCTCTCTGATGTTAGAATGTCTTTTCTTCCAAAATCTTAAACTACGCTCATTTTATGTACTTTGTACTCCTGCTTTTTATTCTTCCTCAAGTAGTTATTTACTGCAAGACGTCTTTCTTTTGCTCTTTGATGCAGATGTGGTGTGCATTTGAAAAAAAAAAACACATAAATCATTTAATTTGTTTAAGGAGTTTTGTTTGAGGAACGTGTTCATTTATTGCTTTCAGAAGTAACAAGAATAATAGGATGCCTTGAGATTCTAAACAATGAGTCTGTTTAATGACTGACCCACCTTGTGGAAAGTGCAGATATTTTTAATGTTCAAGTTGCTATTTCTTCTTAAACCTAAATTGATCTTTGCCCCCAAACACCTTTTCATCTTTTGTGGCATAATTAGCACAGGTTCCAGGTAACTGAATTTTTATAACCCTTGGATAGTGCAGGTGGAGTGACCACTGCATGAAAACTTTCTGCGAAATCAGCCTATTACTGGAAGAAATATCTGTTAAGGATAGGTTTAGCTTTGAAGATTTAGAATTCAAATTAGATTTTTTTACATTCAACTTCACTTACCCACATAATCTCATGAAGCAAAAATGAGGTGTTTCTCAAACAACTTCAGAGTTCAAATTTTAAAATTGTGTCTGGTGTAGTCTACAGTGTTCATTCTACTTCCCCAAGTTTTGAAGAGTTTGAGAATATTAGGAAACTTTGTTAATTTTAGCTTATTAGAAGGAAGCTGTTCAGAATCCCATAAACATCTGGCTTACTCTAGGGCCAATAAGAGATCACAGAGAGCATCCTGGAGGTGTAAAAAGGAAAAATGTGTGAACATAGGGGCAACTTCCTAGAGGCCCTTTGACAAGACCCATCAGCGCACAATCATTTGAGGCCTATTTATAATACCTTGCAAACATTCTTGTTGAAATAATTGGACTGAAAAATAATAATAAATGTTTGGCAAATAACTACTTTTGTCTGTTTTAAGTCTACATCAATCATAACTCAAGGTCTGGAAACTAACACAAGTTCCCAATCACATAAGGGCCTTTTGTTCCCATTTTCTATGTCCAAATATAAAAAAGAAGGGAGGGGATTCTTTGTTTTTCCCCAACAATTATTTTTGCAGTTAGACTGAATCCTATTTCCATCCACACACTGAGATTCTCTTCCTGAGTGTTTTTATTCTTGACCCCACAGCTTTCTATACCATTTCTTGCAGTGACTCACCGGTCATGATAAATATTCGTGCTCCCAATGTTTGTTAATATTTCCTTTAGAGAAAGCAGCAGCTTCTTAGTCTCTGATGCCTGATGAGCCACTAATAGAAAATGGCTTGAAACTTCAGATCAGCACTATAAAAACTGTAGACGTCCTGTTGACATCTACACACAATCCATGAAGTGACTGAGTCAGAAGGTACTTACTAGTAATCAGGCTGAAGTATCGAATTATTTTCTGATAATCCAAACACCCCCGTGCTGCCTGCTGGAGTCTTACATTTAGTATCCACAGTTTATAACTAGAAACAAGTCCAAGAGGGCCCTAATCAAAACAATATCATTTCTAATCTTGAGAATCATGATGAGAAGATGCCCTAAAGTTATAGTCACTCAAAAATTTTATCAGTGGTGGAGACAAGCTAAGCTTATAGGTCCTGAGTATCATTCTGATAGAGTAACATGGCATTTTCTTCAAGAAGCACAGCCTCTCTCTCTCTCTCTCACTTTAGCAAATGGCAGATGCCAACCAAAGACAGAACCTGGGAATCCCCTGATATTGTCTTGGAATTTCAACTATTTCAAAGATTTCTAACTGCAAAACTATTTTTCCCCTAAAGTATACTCTGTTTCTTACTTAAAGTTCTTCAAACAAATTCTGTAAGAGCTTCACTGACTTTCCTCAGGACCCTCTATGGGTACTGATTCAAGAGCCTCCTTATAAATGCCCAGCCTCAGGATACCTCTGAAATATACACTTCGTCAGCGACACTACAGTTTAACAATGATGGTTATGGTAAAAATAAAGCCCTGCAGACTTGTAGCACCTTGCAAGAAGGTAAAGACAACTTCCAAAAAAGAAAGTACTGTTTCATCACAGTTATAATAACATGTAGCTTAAAAAAAAAAGTGTCAGCCAGCCCATGCCCTCTACCTGTTATTTTAGCATGCTGGCAAGGGAACTGAAGGCCAAGCCTCGTGCTCCACCTGAGTAATGCACATGCATGGGCAGAACCTTAAGGCTGTTGGGCAATTGCCTACTTAATTATAAACTGGGAACGCTATTAGCATCACTTAGGCTACTGCTGGCAAATGGGATGAAGAGTTTAATATGCTATGATAGAAAAGCCAGTCTCTGTGTGTTGTTGTGACCTCCCCACCCCCACAGAGGTTGAAGTCTTAACCCTCAGTACTTCAGAATGTAATAATATTAGGAGATGTGGTATTTATAGAGGTAATTAAATCAAAATGAGGTTGTTAGTTCAGGCCCTAATCCAATATGACTGGTGTCCTTATAAGAAGATGAAATTTGGATACAGACATGGACAGAGGGAAGATGTGAAGTTGCAGGGAGAAGATGGCCATCAACAAGCCAAGGATATGGTCCTAGAACAGATCCTTTCCACGTGGCCCTCTGAATAAGCCAGCTCGGGTAACACCTTGATCTTGGGATTTGATCTTAGGACTTCTAGATCCAAGAACTGTGAGAAAACAAATTTCTATTGTTCAAGCTACCTGGTCTATGGTACTTAGCTATGACAGCCCTAGAAAACTAATACAATATGTATCAGTAAGGTGGCATCATGTTGCTAGGTAAGCCTATCTGTATCATGATGATCACTATCCTTTGACATTGTGCAAGCAGGTTCTGGTTCCTCAAAGATAAATTATTTTCCCATTAAATTTGCCATACTTTATATGATAGAGTGGAAAGAGTGCTACAATAAATCAAACACCTTGGGTTTATTCATTTATTCACTCAGCAAGTATTTATTGAGCTCCTGCTATATGCCAGGCATTGTTCCAGGCAATATACATATGGTGACTTGTTTCTTCACTTTACTACCTGTATGTCCTTGTCCAAGCCACTTATGGTTTCTGGGCCTCCATTATTTTGTATTTCAAACTGTGCAGCCGAAATTCTCAGGACTGAAATTAAAATTATTGGCCAGGCGGGTGGCTCACGCCTGTAATCCCAGCACTTTGGAAGGCTAAGGTGGGTGGATCACCTAAGATCAGGAGATCAGGACTGTAAAATACAAAAATACAAAATTATTACCAGCTACTCAAGAGGCTAAGGCAAGAGAATCGCTTGAACCCTGGAAGCAGAGGTTGCAGTGAGCTGAGATCACCCCATTGCACTCCAGCCTGGGCAACAAGAGTGGAACTCTGTCTCAAAAATATAATAATAAGAGGAGGGAGGACTCAAGATGGCGCTGTGAGAACAACCCAGGATTGAAGCTCTCGTTGAATCCGCGGAGAGGTGAGTCAGAGCTGCATTTCCAGACTGATCTTTGTTGCCCACAGAACGGGGAAATTCCCAAGTATAAAAGAGACGCGGAATGCCAGGTAGACGTACCGCCTGGTGAAGCCGGCAGCCGGGGTGGCGGCGGCCGGCCCTACCCAGCGCTCCCCACAGGGCGCGCTTGTCCGGGTGCCCTGTTGAACCGGCAACCTGAGACTTGAGAGGGCTAGACTTGAGACTGAATGGGACTCGGAAAGTGGGCCAGCCCAGGGGGTTGCAGGAACACAGCGTTTGGGGTAGCCCAGTGGGACGGACAAACTGCGATTCCAAACGCTCCCGTGCAGATGGTCCCTGAGGTGCTCTGTAGGGGAGGGGCGTCCACCATTACCAAGGCAACCCACCCCTACTGAGATACACGCCCACTGCTGACGCAGCCTGCCATTGCCGAGGCAACCTGCTACAACAGAGAGACTCCGCCGCAGGGCGTAGCCCGTGGCGGAGACCGCAGCAGAAGAACAGAGTCTGCAGCAACAGGGCGAACCACACAACAGCAGGGCGGAGCCTCAGCAGGCAAACAGTGAATAGACTGCCTCCTAGCTGGGCAGGACACCTCAACGGACATCCAAAAATAAAGCCCCAACAGAGCATTTCAGAAAACAAGGGTTTTTTTTAATGAGCTCTGTTGCAGCAGAATCAAACATAGCAGCCTAACAGCCCTGAATGAACAACAGAGCTCACAGCTCAGCAATTGAGCTCATATAAAGTACAGACTGTCTCCTCAAGCAGCTCCCTGACCTCTCTATATCCAAAGACTGACATTTGGCAGGCATCATCCTGGGACAAAGATAGCAGAAAAAGAAACTGGTAGCATCCCTCACTGTTTCGCAGCTGCTATAGGTGCACCCCAGACAAGCAGGGCCTGGAGTGGACCTCAGCAGTCATACAGCGAAGGGGCTAGACTGGTAGAAGGAAAACCAAGTGACAGAACTACTTCATCATCAACAATCTGGGTGTCTACTCAGAGACCCAATCGAAAAGTCAGCAACTACACAGACGACAAGTGGAGAAATCCACAAAGATGGGAAGAAACCAGCGCAAAAAGGAGGAAAACACCTGAAACCAGAACACCTCGCCTCCTAGAAAGGACCAAAACTCCTCACCAGCAAGGGAACAAAGCTGGACGGAGAATGACTGTAACGAAATGACGGAATTAGACTTCAGAAGGTGGATAATGAGAAACTTTTGTGAGCCAAAAGATCATGTATTAAATCAATGCAAAGAAACTAAGGAACTTGAAAAAAGATTTGAGGAAATGATAACAAGAATGGATAACTTAGAGAGGAATATGAATGAATTAAAGGAGCTGAAAAACACAATACGAGAACTTCGCGAAGCATGCACAAGTTTCAATAGCCGAATTGACCAAGCAGAAGAAAGAATATCTGAAGTCAAAGACCAACTCAATGAAATAAAACGAGAAACCAAGATTAGAGAAAAAAGCGTAAAAATGAATGAACAAAGTCTCCAAGAAATGTGGGACTATGTGAAAAGACCTAACCTACGTTTGATAGGTGTACCAGAAGGGGACGAAGAGAATGAATCCAAGCTGGAAAATACTCTTCAGGACATCATCCAGGAAAATTTCCCCCACCTAGCAAGACAGGCCAACACTCAAATGCAGGAAATACAGAGAACACCACAAAGATATTCCGCAAGAAGAGCAACCCCAAGGCACATAATCGTCAGATTCAACAAGGTTGAAATAAAGGAGAAAATACTAAGGGCAGCCAGAGAGAAAGGTCGGGTCACCCACAAAGGAAAGCCCATCAGACTCATAGCAGATCTCTCGGCAGAAACACTACAAGCCAGAAGAGAGTGGGGGCCAATATTCAACATCCTTAAAGAAAAGAACTTTCAATCCAGAATTTCATATCCAGCCAAACTGAGCTTCAGAAGTGAAGGAAAAATAAAATCCTTTGCGAACAAGCAAGTACTCAGAGATTTTGTCACCACCAGGCCTGCTTTACAAGAGCTCCTAAAAGAGGCACTACACATAGAAAGGAATAACCAGTACCAGCCATTCCAAAATCACACTAAATGCTAAAGAGCATCAACATAATGAAGAATCTACAACAACTAACGGGCAAAACAGCCATTTAGCATCAAAATGGCAGTATCAAATTCACACATAACAATATTAACCCTAAATGTAAATGGGCTAAATGCACCAATCAAAAGACACAGACTGGCAAATTGGATAAAAATCCAAAATCCATCAGTGTGCTGTATCCAGGAAACCCATCTCACATGCAAAGATACACAAAGTCTCAAAATAAAGGGATGGAGGAAGATTTACCAAGCAAATGGAGAGCAAAAAAAAGCAGGAGTTGCAATTCTCATCTCTGATAAAATTGACTTTAAAGCAACAAAGATCAAAAGAGACAAAGAAGGCCATTACATAATGGTAAAAGGATCAATACAACAAGAAGAGCTAACGATCCTA